TGAGAAAACAGGAGCTGGGGCGAGGGGTGTTTACCGCCTTATACTAGTATAAAAAGGAATGAAACATACCTAGAGCACTAACCAGAGGAAGTGCTCTTCTCACTAGGCCTTGACAATAGCAGTTGCGTTTCCTGCCCAAAGCACCCAGCAGCTCAGCTCTCTGTTATCTCCACATCTTTCCCCTTTAGTCAAACCACTGACTGCTTTTACCTCATTCTGATTACTCTCCTGTCTTCTCGTATCCTGGACCAATCTCTGCTCCTGCCCTACAAGCCCTGCTGCAGATTTACACACACTCATCCAATTACCCGACCCTCAGGGCCTTCAATAGGCCATTCTCCCTCACCTTTAACAATAACAAAAACCACAATGCCAACATATCTACCACATTGTAAAGTTTTCAGAATCTTAGATATTGCAAATATTATTATCCCCATTTTCTGGATTGGGAAAATGAACCTCAGAAAGGTCAAGTATTTGAAGAGCTATCATGTGGAAGGATTACACTTGTTGCATTTGGCTCCAGCAGACAACAGCAGGAGCAGTGGATGGAAGTGGCAGAGTCTAATTTAGGCTTGATCTCAGGGTAGGCTTCCTAACAACTGTAGCTGTCCAAAAGTGGAATAAGCTGGGCTCACTGGAGGTCTCCAAGCAACAGCTGAAAAAGCTACTTGTCAGGAATATTATGGGGGGATTCCCTTTTTTATGACCTGGACTACATGGCACTGAAGACCCTTTGAACTCTAAATTCTGTGATTCTGCCACTTATCTAAGGTCACACAGCTACTTAAGTATGGGGGAAAAAACCCCCCAGCATTTCTGACTCCAAGACCAGTGTTTTCCCAGATATATTGCCCTCTTCATAGCTCTACATCAAACAAACCTCTATTTGCCCCCTCCTTCAAAACCCTACTCAAAGCTCAACTTCTCCATGAAGATTTCCCCTGCCTGCTCTCCTACTCTGAGTTCCAATTGCTCTAGCATCTTCTTAATTCTTACTAAGAAATCAATTAAAAAAGTATCCAGGGTATTGATGCTTAACATGGAACTAAGACTTTTGGGACACTATGTGTATTGAGCATGTATTATACAACCAGTACTGTGTTAGGCACTATTTACTACATGATCTCTGCCCTCAAGGAGCTTACAGTCTCTTATATGTAATATAACAGTGTGCTGTTTATGTAAATACTTATTGAACTGAATCCATATAGCTGCATTAGTTTATTGTTATGAATAACAATAATAATAAATAATAACAGCTCATATTTCTGTAGTCCTTCACAGTTTTCAAAATCTTTTTCTCGCAATAGTCCTGTAAGCTGTGCATTGTGAGAAGTGGTATATTTCTAACTCTGAACAAGACTTTCCAAAAAGAATGTCCTTTGTCAAACTATGCATCCCCAGTTTTTGGTTCTGAAAATATCTAGAAGTCACTGAGGCCATCACTTTGTGAAATGTCTGATGCCCATTACCTATGTGCTCATCCTAAGCTTGGAGATGGGCAGCAGCTTACAGGAAGGTTGCTCTGAGAGTAGAGGAACAGAGACAGAAAAAGGAGAAGTTGCTTAAGTACTAAAGAATGCACAGAAGCAGCTGCAGAATTAGAGTGGGAACCCAGGTGTTCTGGGCTTCCAGACTATTACTTCAAATTTTTTCAAAATCATTTTAGTAGTTTGGACTCAGTTGGGTACAGCAATGCTTAGGAGGATAGTGCTGTGACTGGCATCAGAGAGCTACAGAAGCATTAAATAGATACTGTGAACTAGCTATACTTACACTAGCAGGTGTTTCCCTTGTTAATGACTATGATTCGCCAGCACCTAAATCAATGAGCAAGTTTCCCCACTTCCATGCAGTGGAAATTTACATCTACATCACTCACTGCATGAATGATGGTTACAACTTTGGGGAATGTGTGGAAGATGAATTTTTTGAGAAAACAAGTTGTACCAATTAATAAAAAGACCTCAAAATGGTACTTCATGGGGAGGGGGACACAAAAGTGCAATTACAGGGTTTTGCAATAAACAAGTATTATGAAAATGACTGCTTATATAATTTTGGAACATTAAAAAATCTGTAGCTATGATAAAAGTTTCATGTAACTTCATAGCAGCTGGTCATGTATATGGAGGGAAGGTATGCTTTTCCACTGCAAATCATAGCACTTTTGGTAACATATATAATAACATGGTAAAAGTGTCTTTCCCAAAGCAAATGGCAACTGAGGAAAGAAATTTGTTTCTCCATTAATGCAAAGACTGTAAAACATTGCTTCAGGTTTTAAGCTGCACTTCCCCTCTCCTTCTAAGCCTCATTTTCCAGCTTCTTGTTGACCCTTCAGCACAACAAATCTCCCAGCCCACTACACTAAATCTTCTTCTATGAACAAGAGTCATCTGGTTGGGCTGCTTGTCATGAGAGGCTCCCCACGCCAGTCCAGACTATACCCAGATGTCAAAATCATCTTCCTAAAGAGTAAGTCTAACAGGTTACCCCCACCCCCATTTAATAAATGTCAGTGGCTTCCTATCATCTCCGGGATCAAATATGAAAACCTCTATTTGGTGTTCAAAACTCTTAAGAGTCCCCCCCACACACACACACATGCTTTCCAGACTTTTTATACCTTGTGCATTTCCCCATACACACACACACACACACACACACACACACACACGTACTCTGTGATCCAGTGACGCAGGCCTCTCTGTTGTAACTTACATAAGAAACTCCATCTCTTTTTCTTTGGTTGGTTTTTTTATTTGGTTTTGGAGGCAACAGAGGTTAAGTGACTTGCCCTGAGTCAGACAGCTAGTAAGTGTCTGAGGCTAGATTTGAACTCAGTTCTTCCTGACTCCAGTGCTCTATCCACTGCACCACTTACCTGCCCCTATCTATTGACTTGCGGTATTTTCTTGGCTACCTCCCGTTCCTGGAATGTTCTCCCTCCTCACTTCTCCCTCTTGCCTTCCCTGGCTTCCTTCAAGTCCCAACTAAAATCCCACCTTCCACAGGAAGCCTTTCCCAATCCTTCATTCTAGCACTTGCCCTCTGTTTCCTATTTGTCCCGTGTATAGCTTGTTTGCTTGCTTACTGTCTCCCTCATTGCAATATAAGCTCCTTGAAGGCAGGGACTGTCTTCTGCTTTTTTTTTCCGCCCAGTGCTCAGTACAGTGCTTGGCACGTAGTAGGCACTTAATGTTTATCAACTGCTTGTTTAGTGATTCAGATGAGTATGAGAAGATCCTGGGGGGCCAAAACATTTAACCCCATTTTGTCGAGGGCACTTTCTAAGGGGCTCAGAACTGCATCATTTCCTCTAAAGAGGCATCATGGCATAACTTAAACTCACTGAATCCATAGTCAAAGGATCTGGATTTGAAATCTAATTACATTACTCACTAACTTGGGGTGATTCTGAGCTGCAGTTTACTCATCTATAAAATCAAGAGGTTAAACTAGTTGGGCTCTGATATCCCCTAAAGTGACAAATTCTATGGTCTTTAGAATAGGGAAATTTTTTCTGAGTTGTATTTAACACCTCCCCAGGTGACTCTAGAAGGCTCTTAGATCATAGGTTCAAAGATCTGAAACTGAAAAGGTCCTTAAAGATCATCTCAGTCAGTCTGTCAATAAGCATTTATTAAGCACCTACCATGTACCAGTCACTGTGCTAAGCAGTGGGGATACAAAGGAAGGCAAAAGACAGTCCTTGCCCCCAAGGAGCTGCCAGTCTTACAGGGAAGACAACACTCAAACAACTATGTGCAAGCTATATACAAGAGAACCTAGAGATAGTAAACAGAGGGAAGGCACTAAAATATTATCATTATTGTTATACAAAAAAAAGGATTGTATGGAAAATTGTAAATCTTAATCACATATAGCTTCTTTTTTAAGTATAAAATGTTTCTTGTTGTCACATAAAGTTATTAGGTTCTGTTTGCTCCACTTCAACTTTCAGGGAGTCAGCTATTTAGTTATTTCTACCTTCTAGTCTAAGCGATTCATTCTTCTTCCAATTCTTTTCCCTAGAGTTCTTATTTTACTTTTAATTTCACTTTTAATCTAGTGCATCTTTTTTCCAGATATTCTTATAGCGCATGTGACAAAACCATGTTTTTTTCTCTGATGATTTGCTTGTTACTGTTATGGAATTACTCTCTTCTGGTTGTATCTCTTGGGCATCTCTGAATCCATAATATCTCTTTAGGATGTTTGGTGTCTTCTGTTTACTCATTTCTCCAGCTTTAGCTCCTGATTTGAGACTTACTTCCAAAAGAAGGCTCCACCCCCTCCCTTATTGTTGGATAACAACAACAGCAATAATAGCTAACATTTATAGGGTGCTTTAAGGTTTGCAAAGTTTTTTTTTAAATATATGTTATATCATTTGATTTTCACACCCACCCAGTGAGATAAATATTATTATTACCCCTATTTTACAGATGAGGAAACTGATGCTAGGAAAGATTAAGTAACTTGCCAAATGACATAGAGCTAGTAAATATTTGAGGTGGGATTTGAACTTGGATCTTCCTGACTCTAAGTGCTGAACTCTGTTCACTGTGACACCTACCTGCTGTAGATGGAATGGTCAGGCCCTACTTCGACCTGCCCTTGATTACCTGGGCTCCTGTTCCTGACTTCTATCTGCCCTGCTTTGTCTGTACTCAAAGTGCTGGCAGATTTCAATCTCCCTTTGATCACTTGGGTTCAGAGTACGGTGGTCTTCAGGGCCATCCGGAGCATCTCAGCTCAAACTGCTGAGGGCTTTCTGCCTTTCTGAGGTTTTTTTGTCAGAGCAATGGTTGCAAGTTTCTGAGGCCCCACGAACTTCCCTAGTGAAATACTCTGGGACTCCTTCCCCCTTGTACAGATTGCTGTAAGCTCTGGGGCTCTCTGTACTATCTCAGGTCCCAACCACTGCGTTTAACAGAGGAAGGAGCTGAGGTCTAGAGAAAGCAATTAACTTGCTCATACATAAACACCATGTTAGTACTTCACATAGCCATGGCATCAGCACAGCCCATGATTCAGAGAAGGATAATGAAGGAGAAGGACTAGGGTGAATGATAAATGATGGTGTACTGCCAGCCAGAGGACCTGAGTAGTTGACATGTTGCTATTACCTCCCTGTGTGACCTTGGGTAAGTTTTTTGCTTCCATGAGCCTCAGTTCCTGTATCTCCCATAGGACTAGGTCAAGGATTCTTTTTCTTATGTTTTATTGTATTTTAATTATTTTGTTAAATATTTCCCAATTACATTTTTAAACAATCGTTTAAAAAAACTTTTGAGTTCTAAATTCTCTCTCTTCCTCCACCCCCTCTCCCACTTATTGAAAGAGCAAGCAATATGACACCCATTATACATGTGAAGTTATACAAAACCTATTTCTATATTAGCCATGTCACCAAAAAAGCAAAAAAAAAAAAAGAAAAAGAAAGTGAAGAACAATATACTTCTGTCTGTGTTTAGAGTTTATCAATTCTCTTTCTGGAGGTGGGTAGCATTTTTCATTGTGAGTCTTTGGAATTATCTTGGACCATTGTATTGATTAGAGTAGCTAGATCTTTCACAGTTAATCATCATTATAATATTGCTGTTACCATGTGTAATGTTCTCTTGGTTCTGCTGACTTCACTTTTCATCAATTCATATAAAGTCTTCCCAGGTAATTTTCTTTTTAACCTTACTTCAGATATTCTTTCCCTCTTCCAGGACCCCCTCATCATTTCTTATGGCATAATACTATCCCATCACTATTATATGCTGCAACTTGTTCAGCCATGCCCCAACTGATTCCTCAATTTCCAATTCTTTGCCATCACAAAAAGAGCTACTATAAATATTTTCGTACATGTAGGTCCTTTTCATTTTTATCTCTTTGGGATACAGACCTAGTGGTGTTATTGCTGGATCAAAGGGTATATGAATTTTATTGTCCTCTGGGCATAGTTCCAAATTGTTCTCCAGAATGTTGGACCAGTTCACAACTTTACCAACAGTGCATTAGTGTCCCAATTTTTCCACATCCCTTCCAACGTTTGTCATTTTCCTTTTCTGTTATGTTAGCCAATCTGATAGGTGTGAGGTAGTACCTCAGAATTATTTTAATTTGCATTTCTCTAATAAGTAGTGGTTTAGAGCATTTTTTCATGTGACTATTGATAGCTTTGATGTCTTCTTCTGAAAATTGCCTATTCATATCTTTTGACCATTTATCAATTGGGGAATGGCTTTTATTTTTATAAATTTGACTCAGTTCCCTCTATTTTTGAGAAATAAGGGATTTATCAGAGAAACTTGCTTTAAGTCTGCTCTCCCTCCCTCACTATTTCCTGCTTTATTCATCATTTTGGTTGCATTGGTTTTGTTTGTGAAAAAAACATTTAAATTTCGTGTAATCCACAGTAACAGCCACGTTGTGCAATGACTAGCTTTGATAGACTTAGCTCTTCTCAGCAATGCAAGGATCTAAGATATCTCCAAAAGGCTCATGGTGGAAAATGCTATCCACATCCAGAGAAAGAACTATGGAGTTTGAATGCAGATTGAAGCATACTATTTGCTCTTGGAGAGGAAAAAGAGTCACTATATGGTATCCTGAGGAGATGTGGCTAAGGGTAAAATGTATCCAGGGGAGTCCTAGCCTTGTGAAATTTTAAGGTAGAGAGAGGGTTAAGGGCCCATTATACGTGTGTCTTGGGCTACTTCCTCCTTTTCTAGGATCTGACTCACTGCCTGGTCCCCAGCAGCGGTGACCTGGAAATGGCTGTAGTCCTAACTCAGGTGTCCTTCTTGGGCTCTGTGGTCATGGTAGCTACTAGAGATAGGGCAAAAGCCCAGATATAGCACTGTTGAAACAAAGGCACTTGCAGGTCTCTAGGTAGGCTAGGAAGGTAAGAGGTCCCCAGACAGCAGGCTACATCCTGTATGAGTGTGTTAGGTTCCCACGTTGGGTTTTCACCTCATAACCACCTTATACAACATCATTCTTATTTACAGCCTGCTCAGAACCACCAAATCACTAACCCCCAACAGGTCATCTGGTCAAGCTCCCCACCATTAAGCAAGTCAATGCTGCTACCAGATAGTCCAGTGGCTTTGAGTGAGTCACTCACTTGGCACTTCTTGGCCTCAACTTTGTCACCAGTGAAATGAGGGGGATTGGCCTAAATAAACTATAATACTTCTACCACTAGTGTTTTATGTTAAACCATCCAAAACAGATTTTGGTCTAATTTGCTTTGAACTTATGATTTTTCTGAAGTAGAAGTTGAATCCCAGCCTTATTTCTTGCTGCTGCTCAGCTCATTTCTGGTGCATTTTCAGGATGTGTGAGTTTATTTTAATATGATCCTTAGCAAAGCATATATAGGAAGGCAAGTCTCCTTGGGGGGAAAATCATTATTACCAAAGCCAAAAAGAAATATTTTGGATTATCTGCTATTGAGGATGGTCGTTGGTACTTTCCCCTTTTTCAAAATAGTTTTCTTATTATTTCTTTTAATTTTCTTTTTAACCTTACTTCAGATATTCTTTCCCCCTTCCAGGACCTTAGATTCTGTGCCTTTTTCTGTAGAAGTCAGTTTTGGAGCTGGAAGGACACTCATGAATCATCTGGTACAAACACAACTAAGCCCAAAGGGTTGGATCACCAATGACATAATCCTCCAGTGTGAGGCAGCTGAGTCCTTTGCCTGGACTCCCCACAAAGAGCCTGTGTCTTCTGTATCTCCCAACAACCCTCACTACAGCACTCTCCTGAGGAGTCTAGCTTTGGGGCATAAACAGTCTTCTCTTCCCAGAATTCTCTTCCACCTTACTACATGGGCAGCTCTCCTAGGCCTTGTCTTCTGGATGATCCAAGCTGGTTGGTAGTAGCCCAGAGGCAGGAGTCCTGAGTGGGATGGGGGAGGAGACTGATGTTAGAGCAAGATTTTCCCTGGGCTGCCTCTGGGCTTAGATGATACCAATCTTGCAGCCTGGGTAGGAAATGGGAAATCCTCTGAAGGAAACTGGCAGGTTAGACAAGCAAGGAGACCAAACAACGGTAACTACCATGGTATAACCATGCATTGAAGTAGGGTCTCTTCTGTTCCTGTGTTAAGAAAAATGAACACACTTGAATAAGCAGACCTTACACTTACCTGCTCTCTTTGAATTTTACCCTGCCCTTGAGGCTGTTCATTCATCTCTGACTCTCCGCGACCCCATTGGGGGATTTCTTGGCAGACGCACTGGAGCAGTTTGCCATTTCCTTCTCCAACTCATTTTACAGATGAGGAAACTGAGGCAAACAGGGTAAAATGACTTGCCCAGGGTCACACAGCTAATACATGTCTGAGGCCAGATTTTAATTCAGGAAGAGGAGTCTTCCTGACTTCAGGCCCTGCACTCTATCCACTGTGCCACCTGGCTGTCCTGTTCTTGAGGTAAAGTGCAAAACAAATATTGCCATTCCTCAAACAACTGATTACAAAGCTCAGCTCAAGCCCCAGCTGCCTCACACTGGAGGATTGGGTCTCCTTCCCCCCTCAGCGTTCTAGGAATAATTTTGAGGAGATGGGGGTAGTTTTCTAAAAGTATTGCTTCTACTCACAAAGCTACTAAGTGCATGAGCTAGAATTCAGACCACATCTTTTGGCTCCGTGTTGCTTCTCCTAATGACCACCAATAAAGACTAACATAATCTATGGGGGCTTCAGTTCAAGGAAATAAAAATTACTGAGAGTCAGGAGATTAGTTCTAGTTTCGGTTCTGTCTCTAACCTCCTGGCTGGCCTTGAGCAACAAACTTTATCTCTAGAGGCCTCGGTATTCTTACCTGTATAATGAGGCAGGTTGCACTACAGGACCTCTTCCACCTGTAACATTGTGGTTCTGTGATCACAGCTCACAATCCAGAACAGTAATTAATTTATTATTGGGACAGCTAGGAGAGCACTGGGCTTGAAATCAGAAAGACCTGAGTTCAAAAGTGGCCTTAGACACTTACTAGCTGTATGACCATGGGCAAGTCACTTACCACTGTCTGCCTCATTTCCTCATGTGTAAAATGAGCTGGAGAAGAAAATGGCAAACCACTACAGGTATGTTTGCCAAAAAAAAAAACCCCAAATGGGTCAAAGAGTCGGATCTGACTGAACAACAATTGTTATTCCCTACTTATTGACATCAGAACAAACATGCCACTACATGTGTTTGTATGTGCATGCCAATGTAATAATGTATACACACAGTAGCAAAAGACCAGCTACAGTAGAGTTTCTTCCTCGGCTCTTTATAGGGTCACTGAGTCATACACAGCTATCCAAGAGCTTCCATTGAATAATCTGGAACATAATAGGAAGGAAAAGCATTGGAGTACATGATAGCATTGTGATGGTGGGTGAATAGTGTATGCATGTTAATGAATACACAGACATTCATATACAGGTATGTATACATACCTCAGGCAGCTCTCTAAGATTGTCAGTTATAGACAGATTGCCATCTGCATCAGCGGAGAAAGAGCTCACATCAATCACAGGTCCTCATGGCGTTGATGAATTTATAGATGCAAGTGCATGGATATCTAAGTGCTCGACTATAATTTAGAAACATGTAAATTCAAACAAAATAAGTTCCTGCATTGGTCATAAAAAAATCTCATCCTGCCCTCCGAGCCTGTCACCTATCAAGAGATGGGGACAATGTTTCATCCGGTCTATGCACAGAGCATTGACCAAGTCACTCCTCTTCTCTGGCCTCAGTTTCCTTATATCCAAAGTGAGAGGTTTAGACTAAGTGTTCTCTTAACTCCATTCTAACTCTAAATTCTATGAATCTATTATTATTAAAGGCATATTAGGAGTAGAAATAAAACTAACTGTAGGTGCAGTAGAAATAAAAAATAAAGGAAGAATAATAGAAATAGTTAACTATGGGTCCAATATAGGGAAAGCATTTTAAAAAAAAATCTGAGTCCATCAGAGAGCTCTTAATGCAGCTATATCAGTTTCTCTTGATATCTCTCCTCTTTCTTCTGAATTAATATTATTTATAATTATATGGTCAAAATTTCACTTTTTGTTAAATCAAATCCTTTTAGATTTTCTGACCATCATCCTATCTTTTCTGTTACTGTTTTGAACTTGGGTTCCT